TAACAAATGATAAGAACGAAACATACATAACTTATTATTGCAAAGAAAAAGATTGTAATTCTTATTTTAGAAATAGAGTACTTTTTAATAAACATTTATATAATCACATAAGACAAAATAAAAATGGAATTTATTGTGGATACCCAGTTTGTTCTACTAATAAAACAGTTTTCAAAACAATCAGCACTTATGCAGTACACATATGCAGACGTCATTTTAATTGTAAATCTGATAAACAATTTATTGTTAGTAATAAAGAACTGACAAATTTTGATACCAATAATGATTGTAATTTGTTTGTACAAGAAGAAACTTTAAATGAAGTTTCAAATGATGTTGAAAATATTACAAGTGTTGAAAAAGCTATAGCACAATTATATTTGAATTTGACTACAAAATATTTTTTAACAGAATTTGCTTTACAAGCTGTAATAGATGGCATGTCATCTCTAATTGAACTTACTCAAGAACATTTTATTACAACTCTAAACGAAAGTGATCTTCAAGATAATGTTAAAGAAAAAATTAAAGATTTATTTCGATGTAGTTTTTCGTTTTTTTCAAGTGTTCACAATTCTGTAAATGGTTCTCTTCAAAATACGTACTCTAGAAATGTGTATTTGCTAAATAATTTTCATATAGTGATTCCTACACAAATTAATTTAGGATATTGCAATCACAAAGAATGTTACTATCATTACGTTCCAATTTTGAAAAATATAAAAGTATTGCTACAAAATTCTGATATTCGACACTTTTGTTTAAATTCACATAATAATTATAATAGTAATGTACTTTTTGATATAAAAGATGGCAGTGTAGTAAAAAACAATAAATTTTTTCATAATAATAAAAATGCACTACAAATAATATTGTATCAAGATGCATTTGAAGTATGTAATCCATTGGGTGCATCAAAAAAAAAATTCAAACTTGTTGGTATATATATGGTATTAGGAAATTTGCCCGCTTATCTCAGATCAAAAGTTGATAATATACAGCTTGTTATGTTATGTTATGAGAAACATATAACATTTTTTGGTTGGGAAAAAGTTATGACACTAATTAATACGTGATTTACAAAGTTTAGAAAAAGAAGGAATAAATATTTCTGTTGGTAGTGAAACAATTAATTTTGTTGGCACTGTTATTGCTATGTTGGGAGATAATTTAGGAAGTCATCAAATTGGTGGTTTTGTAGAAAATTTTAATTCAGAATATTTTTGTCGCTTTTGTCACATTATTCAAAATGAATTTAAATCAAAATATACGTGTACTAATATAAATAGAAATTCAAATGATTACAATTGGTATGTTATAGAAGCAAAAAATAGTACGAAAATTGTGAAAGGCATTAAACGTGATTCGGCTTTAAACAAACTTAATTATTTTCACGTCTGCAATCCAGGATTACCGCCCTGCATAGCACATGATCTTTTCGAAGAGATTGTTTCGTATGATCTTATGTACTGTATTAAATATTTTGTAACAGAAGGTTGGTTTACTTACCAATTTCTAAATCATTGACTACAAAAAATTAAGTTTTTAAATGAAAATGTATGTATTCCTACTATAAAAGATTCATCTAGAATTACAAGTACTGCAAGTCAAATTAGAAGAATATTACTAATATTTCCTTTAGCTGTTTTTGATAAATTGTCAGTCAAGAATATTGAGAATGATGTTTGGATGTTAGTATTGCATCTTTGACAAATATGTTCTTTAACATGTGCCCCTGCTCTATCTTTTGGTCAGATTGCATTATTACAGGAAAAGATAAATGATTATTTATCATTGAGAGTAAAATGTTTTCCAAATATCAAATTAAGACCAAAACATCATTATATTTCTCATTATCCCTGTTTAATTTTATCTTTTGGTCCGCTGAAACATTTATGGACTTTGAGATTTGAAAGTAAACACAGATATTTTAAGAATATTGTCAAACATTCCCAAAATTTTAAGAACTTAACAAAATTATTATCACACAAACATCAATTTTTACAAAATGAACAAAATATTAAAAATAGATACCATACTTCAGCAATAGTAGACAATGCAGAGGAATACACATCTGAACGATTTAATGATCAGATTTCTTCTATTATAACAAATTATTTTCATGACAAAGAAAATGAAAATGTAAAGTACATATCCTCACAAGTTACTTTTAGAGGTGTTACGTATAAAAAACATATGTATATCTGTGTAGGTAAAGATTGTTATGATTATTTCACTCTATGCAAAATTCAATATATTTTGATAAATAATTGTTATACAAACATTTATTTTTTGGGCACTATAACGAAAATTATACACAATCCTGATTTTGGCGTGTATGAGGAGTTTAAAATTGAAAGTGTAGATTACAATGTCGAAAAAATCTTTTTGTTTCCGTATACTTGCTTACTTATGCCACATCCTATCCTTCAAAATGATTTACATTCCATTCCTGTGTATGTCTTTAAATACGAACCCATTGATTCATAACTTTGGATCTTAAAATTCTGTAAGCATGGCATTTTTTAATACTTTAGTATTACATATTTTAATTAATTATACACATGCTCCTTTTTACGTTGTAGATGTCTCATTTGTATAAAGTCTGGACTGCCGATAGAAAAAAGAAAATATCACTTATACTTCGTGAATCAGATAATATGCTGTCAGAGCTTATTGAAAAAAGTAGCACTAAGCTTGATATTGCTGGTTCTGTTCTTGTTATGGAAAAAGACGGAACAATAGTTGATGACAATGAGGTTGTAAAATTTTGTTTTGGTGAAATTTTTATGTTGCTACAGCCTGAAGAGTCCTGGTCTGCACAAAATGAGACAGAACTTAACACAACATTATCTGACACTACTTCACTTACATCATCTAGTTTCAAGGAAGGAACACTTTTTTCATACTCGTCAAGTTCGCAATCTACTGCTTCATCGCCCACATTTGAAACATGTAATAATAAAATACAACTGTCTAATAATATTTGGAAGAATTATCAAATACCATGGGATAAGTTAGAAATGTCAGTGATTAAAGAACTGGAAAATGGAAGTCGCAGCAAATATGCAATGACTGCTGTTGTAAACCGTATAGTTTCAGAAATGAGAAATATACAAGAATTCATACCAGCTAAAGCATTCAAGATAATAGCTGAACAAATTGTCAGCAAATACCCAAAAACTTTTAAAGACATGGATGAGGACGGCAAATGTTTTGGAGACGGATCTTATACATTATTTGCGAAACTTCGCGACCGAAATAATTACTTAAATAGACCACATATGAAACGATCTCTAAGCCATACTTTAACAATACCCCTAAAAAAACAAAAAAAAGTTATGTCTGCTAAAGCTGGATGTAGTAATTGGCAACCAGAAAAATTCCTTGATACAGAAACGGAAGAGACAGTAGAAGACAAAACTAAGTTTCTACGTGAAATAGTCAATGACGATTCATCAAAAAGAGATCCTAAGATACAACAGAAAATTATTTCGAATCTTGAAGCTACATATCCTGCACAAAGATTATATCTGAATAACGTTCATGATGTACCTACTATAATAGATATTAAAAATACATGGCCGATACTTTTACAAAAAAAATACATGTTTTGGCATTATGAAAAACTAATGGGATGTTCAATACATATTCTGAAGGAGGAAATGTTGAAAAAACAACACAAAATAGAAATTTACGGACATAAAAAATATAAAGATATCACTAATTCAAATGATCCGACAGAAATGAAAGTAATGAAAATTATTTTTAAACATTTCAAAGAAGATTTTGAAGAATTATTTAAAACATATTCGGTATGCATTAAAAAAATATGCATGTGTAATCTCTTTTGATTATGTCATTGTCTTACATTTAATTAACTACTGTTAATTTGTCAAATACACAGGAAGGAACTACCATGGAACATATAGAAGCACCAGTTATGACGCCATGCATCATAATTATAGGTAATTATTGTACTTGTAATACTAAATATATTATATATTTTCTTTTCTAGAAATTTTTTAATCTATCCTTGAATGTATATAAGTTTTCTAATTGCTCATATTTTTTATTATTACAGATGATACATCATGCCCAATATTCTATTTATATATAGAAAATATATTAATTGAAAAAACATGCTGCTTTTATGAAGCATTACAGATGTTAATGTCCAGTTATTACATTTTCAATATGGAGTATCCCGCAAGCAGTACATGTACATTGGAATTTATACAAAAATATTTTTTAAATATTTATCCAGTCTCAGGTTCGAAATCTCGAAAAACGGCAACAAAGTACAAAGTACTAACATTTTTTAATAAATTAAGAAATATAGATTCAGACAAAGAAAATACTTCTACAAACTAAGTACTACTGTAATATGAAATACATATGAAATATATATATATAATTGTAAGTATATTATTATATTACATTGTATTACACTCGTGTGTGCGTGTGCGTGTGCGTGTGTGTGTGTGTGTGTGTGTGTGTGTGTGTGTGTGTGTGTGTGTGTGTGTGTGCGGGTATGATAATAGTATTTTAATAACATATATAATAGCACACACATTTCAGATTTTATATTAGAGAGCATTATTATTTTTATAAAATTGATAATCATACATTTATTTATATATTCCTTTTATAATCTGTATTACTATTTTATTTATTTAGGTTCCTGTTTACACTACATATTACGACTATATAATAAGATGAATTCAGTTATTTTTCTATCACCACTTAAAGATCGAGACAGAAACCAATTATAGAGACGGTATAATACTATTCCGGTATGGGAATCTAACATGGGTGATGTACCAATAATTTGATATATTCCAAGAAGCGTTGTCAAACTGTATATTAATCATACATTAATTGTTTATTTCTTTTCTATCTACACTACAGTACGTTCTGTTATATTATTTCTACTGTCGTATTATATATCTTGTTTTTGTCGTGTAATTCTAACAATTCTATGAAAGACGATTTTGATATTAATTTGCATATTATTTATAAACTGTTTATAGATATATATACATATATATATTTAGATTGCAACGTGTAATATACATATACGTATATATATACACATACACATACATACATATACATACACATACGCATACATATACATATACACATCGTATACATATATATATTTAGATTGCAACGTTGTAATATTTTTGTCATATACTTCAGCATTTTCTATGTCGTGTCATATTGCTACTGTAGTATCGCTACTGTTGTTATATTTTGTCGTATTAATTGCTACTGTCGTATTGTATTGCTACTATCGTATAATTCCAATAATTCCATAAATCTCAAAAAGATGATTTTCATATAAAACTACACATTAATTATATAGGATATACATATATATTACAACGTTGCATTTCTTTTGTATTATATGCTTAAGTATTTTAGTATATCGTATTATTTCTCTACCGCATTATTGTTATAATTAAACAGTTTAGTTTCTTTGCATTACCAAATATTATTAATAAATTTACTTTGACTTGTGTATCGCTAATATTAAATTTTTAAATTATTTTTTGTCGCAAACGAATTTTTATTAAGTTTATATGGTTTTACTTTTATAAACATGATATGATTAATTTTTTCATAAGTATATATCTAATCCATAACAATTATGATCTTATTATTATTATTATCATATAATTACATTATAATAAAATATCTTTTATATCATGTATGCTACAATATTTATAATAAAATATAATTGAATTATTTTAAAACAGGATATATATATATTTCCCTAATTCATGCGGTATGCCGTGAATTGTATATAAATTTTTTTTACAGGCACAGGGACAGAAATGCCTGGCTATCTGAGTTGGTCGCATACAATCAAGGCACACTCGAAACGCGTGTAATTGTTCATAACATTACTGTTGAAACAACGAATCAGCATCGCCATTTCTTGAGTCATGACGATGTATTATTAGTTAAAACATTGCACGCGTTTTAAATGTGCTTTGATGATGCGGACAACTGTAGATAGCCATCAAGCATTTCCGTCCCCGTGCCTGTAAAAAAAGTTTTTTATGTAAATTTACACCATTTATAGTAGGTAATAAAGGGACCCTCACAAATAGGGTAAATTTCCTCGCGTTCGTAATTTTACAATACAAAGTAAAAGTAATGTCTTCATGTGTAATGAAACAGATTGTAAAAGTAAATTTACAAAGCACGGGAATAATGTAGAAACGGTAATGCAATAATACTTTTCTTAGTAGTATTATTAAACAATCAAACATTAAATTTACGAACCGAATCGGAAATATACAAAATGTTATGTAAAATTGAAATGTAAAATTGTAATTTAAGGTTACAGTACTGTAAAATTACAATAACTTTTCGTGCATTTTCGGTTCGATTCGTAATGATACGGTAACATTTCGTACATTTCCGGTTCGATTCGTAATGATACAGTAACA